AAGCTAAATTTAATGGTTTAATATTAGAGACACATCACATGATTGTTTTGGTTATGTGTCTGTTTGTGTACATGCATGTCTGTGGATAATGAGCCGTATTTAACGGATGCCCTGCCATCAAGGTCACGTTCTGATGCAAGTGAGCGGCAATACAGAGAAAATCCAGCGAGCCTAGTCTCTGTGTATGTGTGTGTGCATGGAAAATAAATTGAAGAGGCTAGAACTAGATAAAAGTGGGAAATAAGACCGTTACAGAGGCTGAAGGACAGAAAGAGGGAGAGTGTTGAAGGATTTATGTGGCGGTAGTGCAGAGTGTGTGGCATGAGAAAATCACTCTAGCTCTCCCAGATGTGGTCATGTGATCATGCAGTGCTTAGACTGTCAGATGACATTATGTAATGCGGAGCGAGAGGAGACCCAGGAACCGACAGACAGAAAGAGAGATGGGATTGTAATGGGTTTATTCATCTCTCTCCTTCACAGCTGTGCTGTTCTCACACAGATCTGCTTCATTACTGTACAGTTCTTTAACTCTTTCTGGTGCTGGAAAAACACACTCTTCTAGTGCATTATTTGCCTTCACAGTCACGACTGCAGAATTACAAATCCCTGAGGTGCTGTTAAGGACTAAGTCACCCAAAAATGACAGTTCTGTCATCAATTATGCCTTCAAACCCCATATGTTGGTCTTCATTTTCAATGCAATTAGTTCCCAGGGGATTCAAGCATCACAAAAGCTCCATATAAGTATCATAATCAATATATATGAACCATTTTATAATGGTTTTGCATTTATAATAGAACTGTGTTGAAAAAGGGCTGTTTAATTGATTCTCATTTTGATGAACTAAAATTGATTCTTAAATTCCAAGAATCAATCTATTAGTCTATGCTGTTTTCAGTTAGTGCATGAACTAAACTGAGCTAGAAAAGCAGCATTTTGCTAAATATATGTAATATATTACATATTCATAATTTTTTCTTAACCTGTTCTTCCATATTTCATGTATCTTTGAACAAATCAGTCATGAAAACAATAACATGAAAACATGTTTTTATAACAGTCACCAGTTAAATGTTTATATTTGAAAAAACAAACCAGTAGAAATGTAATTATATCTTTAAAAAGTTGTTATTATAATGTGCCTGCCTTAAATCCAATTGAAACTTTTGTATACAAAGCAGTTGTTAATTTTAACCTTTAATGTTATAGTAATATACCAAGTGATTGACTATAAAATCAGTTTAAAATCCAGTTGAGATCAGAATTGAATCGAATCGCAAACTATGAATCGTTAATGGAATTGCAAGTTTGCGAATTGTGAATGGAATTGCAAGTTTGTTCATTGAATCGCAAGTTTGTGAATTGTGAATGGAATTGCAAGTTTGTTCATTGAATCGCAAGTTTGTGAATTGTGAATGGAATTGCAAGTTTGTTCATTGAATCGCAAGTTTGTGAATTGTGAATGGAATTGCAAGTTTGTTCATTGAATCGCAAGTTTGTGAATTGTGAATGGAATTGCAAGTTTGTTCATTGAATCGCAAGTTTGTAAATCAAAATGCAAGTTTGTGAATCGAATCACAAGTTTGTGAATTGTGAATGGAATCGCAAGTTTGTTCATTGAATCGCAAGCTTGTGAACCAAATAACAATATTTCTCATTTCTAACTGTTTTGCATTTGTTCTGCAGGTTGGAGGAGACGCCGCCCGTCATGACGCTGTTACCTGATAACATCCTGCAGGTGTTGCGTCTGCAGCTGCTGCAGTGTGTGCAGAAAGCATCTGAGGGACTGGAGCCCGAGCAGCAGACGCTGGCGCTCCTGCTCCTCAAATTCCTCATCGTCACCTGCAGGTCAGACTCTGAGACGTCACACCAGTGGCCTGCACTTTATGACTAAGAAAAAACAGATTACAGAAACAGATCAGTATTCGAGCTAAATACGCAAACTAACTGAAGTAAAAGAGTGATTTGAACTGTTTGGAAATAAGAGTCTCTTATGAAAATATGAAGTGCATTGAATCTCAGTAAAAACAGAAACTGGACACCTGTGATCCTGCTCAATGTTTCATGAGTTCTCTGAGCACCTGCTGCTGAGGGTTCATGCCTGGTTTCTACTTTCAGTGACATATCAAGACTTTTACACCGCAAAAAAATGCTTTTCTTACTTAGAGTTATAAGTAAATAATCTTATTTCAAACTGAAAACAAGATTTTTTTTTTTGCTTACCCCAATGGCAGATTATTTTGCTTGTTTTAAGGAAAAACTCACTTAATTTTGACTTATTTTTTCTGAAAACAAGACAATAATTTTTACTTGTCTAGAAAATGCTTGTTGATTTAAGAATTTTTAGATATTTGGACTAGAAACAAGACAAAAACTCTAAGTAAGAAAAGCATTTTTTGCAGTGTAGGTTCCAACAGTGCGATTACTCGAATGGCAGCTGCTACTCATATGTACACACACACACACACACTTAATGCGGACATCCTTTATTACTCCATTATTTAAGTTTATTTAACATGACTCTAGTCAAAACTTTTAAATATATTGTTAAGTTTTGGTTGTTTACAGTTTTTAAAAGTAAAAGAGACATTTTTTCAGACATTACCATTCAAAAGTTTGGGGTAAGTCATTTTTTAGAATTTTTATTTATTTATTTATTTTATTATTTTTTTTATTTATTCAGCATAATTTTATACAAAGATGCATTAAATTGATCAAAGTAACAGTCAAATAAATGCTGTTCTTTTGAACTTTCTATTGAAAGAATAGAAAAATCATGGTTTTCCACAAAAATATTAAACGGTTTTAACAATGATAATAATCAGAAATGTTTCATGAGCAGCAAATCAGCATATTAGAATGATTTCTGAAGGATCTTGTGACACTGAAGACTGGAGTAATGATGCTGAAAATTCAGCTTTGATCACAGGAATAAACTACATTTTAAAATATATTAAAATAGTAAACAGCTTTTTTAAATTGTAAAAATATTTCAGAATATTATTGTTTTGACTGTACTTTTTAACACAGCCTTGGCGAGCATAAGAGATTTCTTTCAAAAACATTTAAGAAATCTAACCGTCCCCAAACTTTTGAACAGTAGTGTAGCTCCTGGGGCAATTTTGTCTTCAGAGAACATATTTCACATGCATGTCTACTCAGTGAGATGTTGTAATTTGTGCACACACAGACTCTGTAGCGTTCAGCAGCAGTCAGTGTGTGATTTATGATCATAGGGCTGGCAGGGGAATCTCTCTGACAGCTAGAACTAATGGTCCTGTCATACGGCGGTCTATCTAATACAGCTTCAAACACACACACACACACACACACACACACACACACACACACAGAGTTTCTCCACATTGACAGCTGTGTGATGTGTCTTGACAGGAACCTGTCAAATGTGGAAGAGATCGGCGCCTGTTCCTACATAAACCACATCATCACCATGACAACGCTTTACATCCAGCAGGTCTGAAACTTGCTCCAAAATCAAGTTTTCTGTTTATCCATTTATTTTTGTACTTTGTCACCATTATTTAATGGTTGTCAAACTGGCCTATGTTTTCCCTCTTCCTCTCGCACTTCCTCTTCCTTGGCTCTTCCCTATTCTTTTTTTCTTCATTTTACTATTAATTCTTCTGCCTTTTCTTTCTTATTTCTTTTTCCATGCCCCTTTCCTCTTCTCAATCTCTTCTTTTTCCTATCATGTCCTGTTCCTTTTCTTTACTTTTTCCTTTCCTTTCCTTTTTTCTTCCCTTCCTCTTCCTCTTCCTTTTTCTGTTTTCCTCTTCTCTTCTCTATTTCCATGTTTCTCTCTTCTTTCTTGAGGAAGCCTAGAGGAAAGGGATGTGGAAAATAAAATGTTAGGGCAGAGGAAATGACAGGAGCATTTTCCTCTTCCATCTCCTCTCCTCTTTTTTTTGTTTTCCTCTTCCTCTTCCACTTTATTTTCCTGTCATTTATTCTTCTTTTTCCTTTTCCACATCCCTTTCTTCTAGTCTTTCTCTTCCTTTTCTGGTCGTTTCCTCTCCCTTTCCATTTTCCTTCCTTTTTAACAGGAATATAAAAAGGAAGAATAAAAGCATTTTCCTCTTCCCTTTCCTCTCCTCTTTTTTTGTTTTCCATTTTCTTTACCTTTCCTTTTCCTCTTCCCTTTCCTCTTCCTTTCTCTGCATTCTTCTTCTCTTTTCTTTTTCCATTGAATTATTATTATTCCACAATTATTATTATTATTGTTTCCTCTTCTTCCATCCTTTTATTGTTCCGTCTTTCTGTTTTCCTCTTTCTCTTCCTTTTCTTTTTTCTCTTCCCTTCCCTTTTCTCTTACTCTTACTCTTATTTCTTTTTCTTCTCCTCTCTCTTTCCTCTTTCATTTTCTCTGCTCTTTATTGTCCTTTCTGTTTCACCTTTTTTTTCTCTTCTCCTCAGTATTAAAGTAAATCCACTCTTTTTCTCTCTGTTTAGCTGAAGAGTAAGACGAAAGAGAAGGAGCTGGCTGATCAGACACAAGCCGAGGAGTTTGTCCGTCACGCTTTGGCCTTCTGTGAGACTCTGTATGATCCCTATCACAACTGGAGGCATCGCATTCATGGGTGAGATATGCAACCAATGCCGATCCCACAGCTGAAGCTGACGTACAAATGGCAGCTTTTCAGAAATAACTGGAATATTTCTCTTTGATGGCACGATGTGTCTTTCTAGACTTTCACCCAGTTGTCTAACGGGGAACATTTCTTCATTGCATGCAAAAAATGCATTGTATGTAAACATCACAACTGTCAAATGCCAGTCATGCTTCAATAAGAGGACTTCACGGCCTCAGTTGTTAATCTCTTTGTACGAGCATGTACCAATCCAGTATGCACCTCCTCATGCACACTGAATAGGGCATTCTTAGGCTGCTAATCTGTAGAATAAACCGGTGTTGTTTGGAGAGCTGCTCTGTTTAAAATAGCGATGCAGAGTCAACGTTAAATCAAAACCATTCACTGAAAAAGGAAATCATTTACTTTCTTAATAAATACTCCTGGGCTTCTTGTGAATGATTTGTCAGTGCATGTTATTTTAAAGAAAAAATGTTTGTTTTATTAATCTTTTATCAAAATGTTTTACATTTTTACCGTCACTCAGAAGTACAATACATTATCTGCAGTAAAATGCTTTGTAAATGTTGTTGCTTTAAGTTATTTGACACCACAATAATGACAGGCCAGTGGAGAATCTGTATGTGAAGGTTTATGTTATAAGTTATGGTATACATGTTGCTAACCCAAAGTGCAGTTGAATCCAGTGCAGTTCCCTGTTATTCAGTAACGTGAGCCACACAGATACACACTGTCAAATGAGGCGAACACACACATATACAGTGAAAAACACAGTTGTGTTTGACCAATAAACACTTGTAGTCTGGTTCTACAAGTTCTGTGAAGAGCTGTTTGTCTCTCCACTCTGTGTGTGTGAGAGTGTGTGTGTGTTTCAAAGGTTATTTGAGGGCAGGTAATATGGCTGGATAAAATGCCACTGAAAATAATAACATATTGGGGGAAAAAGGCTCCTGAATTGATTTTTTTTTTTCAATGTTATCCAACACTTTATATTGTTTTATTATTTAAATGAATACATTACGGTTAATACATTGACTATTATTTATTTATTTATTCCTTCCTCCCTTAAAATTTTTTTTAAAAATGAAAACAATCAATAAAATACTTAAAGATAAATAAAACACACAAAAAAAATTCAATGTTTTAGTTGTTTTCCTGCATGCCATGTGACCATTTCTTGACATCAGAGAACCGTGAACATGCGAATGTGTTGTTAAATTATTGAAAGATTGATTTAAAATCTTGGGGAGTACTTCAAGTAAATATATTAGGTCAAATGTGTTTGACTGACAAAAATGGCAGGATCCATGATTGTGTGATATTATATTGAAGTGTGAGTAATGGGTCTGTTTAACTGGTTTGTGTTTGTTTGCTCTTGCAGACAGCAGCTCAGTACTGTGGAGAGAAGCAGACAGAAGTTTAAAGCCGCAGCGCTCACTGTAGAGTTTGTGCCCTTCTTCTACCGTAAGTCTCTCTCTCTCTCTCTCTCTCTGGATGAACCCTGTGGGGCATGTGGCTTGTTTATTTACTGATCAAATCTGCTGTTTATCATTTGGCTTTCAGCGATGGCACATAACTAGCGCTCTCTAAACAAAGCAGCCTCAGTGTTCCTGTTGTTAGAAACTCACACTGCTTATCTGTGTGTTGATCACTGAAGTGTCACTCTGTTTCTGAGTGTACCTGTGAGTTAATGTGAGTTAATGCTCTCGATACTTTAGCCTACAGCACTGAGCAACTAATGAAAATTAATGAAACTAATGACAAAAAAAACCTTTGAGGGGCTCTGTACTGAAAAGACTGAGGACAGTAAAGTGTAACCGGAAGCATGCAAGAAAATAATTCAGCATGTTTTTGTTGTTGACATGTTATTTGCATGAAAAACAGACACCTCTTCATTAATTCATTCATTTGTGTGTGTGTGTGTTTCAGAATGTTTTCAGGAGAGTGAGCACCTGAAGGACAGTCTTAAATGTTGTCTTTTGCACCTGTTCGGAGCCATCGTCGCAGGTGGACAGGTGAGATCATGCCACAGCAGTAAAAGAATAGTGCTGAAGTTTCAGATAAAATGGTAAAATGAAATTATGGTTCACTTTCTGTTAACTGTTGAAATGAAATCTCCACCAATCACAATTTGGAATGCTAAAAATCGCATTGCTAAAAAATGTAATGTAGTGTGCAAACAAATACACACACACACACAAAATGGAAAATAATTGCAAGAATGAAGACAAATCACAATTTCGTATAAAAAAAAAAATACATAAAAGAAAACATTGCAATTCCATATATAAATAATTTTAGGAAAGAAGACCAATTGCATTTCTGTATGCAAATAATTGGAAGAAAGAGGACAATGGAGGTGCTGCTGGGAGTGTTGGGTGCCGGCGAGTGTCTGAGCGGAGGTGGAGACGGAGAGGACTGGGACAGCGAGGCTCCCGACAGGAAGGCGCTGTTGACTCTGGGCTGTTTGCGGGAGGTGGTGCACCGGCTCCTGGCCAGCAGCTCCGATCAGAGACAGGTGGAGATCAGCTCAGTGCTGGAGAGCTACTTCAAACTGCTCAACTCGGACCCCGCCGCCACAGCGCAGGTCAAAGGTCACCCATCACCGCCCCGCTCTCAGCACTGGGAGAGCCGCTTTGTGGCGTTACAGGTGAACATGCTCGGTGAGTAGATTTGTCACTCGTGTCGTGTTCTTTAATCTTGACCGCTTCTCTCTTCTGAATCCTTTTCTCCGTTCCACTCAGAAACTATTCAGGACATGTTTGAGTGCAGCGACCGTCCCGTCCTGCAGGCCATCTTCCTCAACAGTAACTGCTTTGAGCATCTGACCAGACTCCTGCAGAACAGTAAGGTGAGCTCCTCTACAGATGCCACATTTCCTGACCATCATGCATTTGGGTTTATTCAGTTCTGAGTCGAAATAGAGCTCAACAATGACTTTGTCAGGTCCCTTTGTTTTGGGAGCATTCATAGAAATTTTCCCTTCAGAGAAATCTTCAAAGAAAGTCTTCTTTTGTCAGGTCCCTTTGTTTTGGGAGCATTCATCCCTTCAGAGAAATCTTCAAAGAAAGTCTTCTAAACCTCTCCGAGATGAATCAATATTTGATTCACAGCAAAAAAGCATTTGAAAATTGTGTCTTTTTTGATGAAACAAATGCAGTACTCTTCCTATAAACCATTGTGAATACTTCAAGAAGACACGAAAACCCAGATAATAATGTATTTTCTTATCAGACAACACCCCTGCTGTCTTTTATGCTCAAATAAAAAAAAAGAAAATTATTTTATTCAGCAAAGATGCATTAAGTTGATCAAAAGTGGCAGTAAAAACATTTATAATGTTTTAAAATATTTCTATTTCAAATAAATGCTGTTCTTTTGAACTTTGTTCATCAAAGAATCCTGTACAGTTTCCATCAAAATATAAACGACACAACTGTTTTCAACATTGATAATAATCAGAAATGATACTTGAGCAGCAAATCAGCATATTAGAATGATTTCTGAAGATCATGTGACACTGAAGACTGGAGTAATGATGCTGAAAATTCAGCTTTGCATCACAGAAATAAATTACATTTTGAAATATATTCAAATTGAAAACTTCAATTTATAATATTTAAATTATAATAATATTTCACAATATTACAGTTTTTACTGTATTTCTGATCAAATAAATGCAGCCTTGGTGAGCACAAAAGTCTTCTTTCAAAAACATAAAAAGATCTTACTGATCCCAAACTTTTGAACAATAATTTAGCCTTCATTAGCCTGAAAAAATATATAATTATAACAATTTATTACCCTTTTAAAAATATAATTATCTGATCCTAAACGGTGAACGTATATTTGGATGCAAATTAGTTCCCTAAGCCTTAACATACTAATATTCAGCAGGTAATTGTAGTCCAGTCATACTGACTTCTACATAATTTATCTTAAAAATAATGGTAGATCTCCAATGGAAGATGGATATGTTATCTCTAATAGATGTGGAGATTTTTGATTGGATTCTTCCAAAACCCAACAGTTGAGCTCTATTGACACTATATGACTTTTACAGGATGTTAATGACCTGCTGCCTTATATATTGTAATGTTTGTCAGGAATATCCTTGTTTGTTGTAGATCCTGTCAGAATCTAAAGATAGATTTGCTAATTGTCATTTAACCGACAGTGTGTTCAGTTGGAGGATTTATTCTCGCCAGCCAGTTTCTTGTGCAAATGTTTACAATCCTGGTTTTTTTTTAATCTTTGCCTTAAAAGAACAGTTTGTTTTGTGCATATTTGTGTGTTTCAGATTAACTGTTTCTTTATGATGTATGTTGCTATTAAAACTGTCACCTTATCACCTTACAGCATGTACATGTATCAGAACTGCAGCACTGCCTTCTATCCATGCATGTTTCTGTCCTTTAGCGACAGAACATTTAGGCACTTAGGGTCACGACCTTTGACCTCCTACCTTTTAACCTTAACCCTTTGCACTTTCCTCTCATCTGCCCGTCTGTGCTTGCTGCGGTCGGCTCCGTCCGGCAGCTGGTTAACGCTAGGTGCACAGCTGCAGACAAGGACCAGAAAGATTTAACCAACAGGTTACTGACAGGAGAGAGTGAGATTCAGGTACCGCCCACCTGTGCCTGTCGCTCCCGCTCACCACGCCCCCCGCCGCCCACATGACCACTCCAGGACAAGATCACAGTCCTCTCTCTGTCTCTCTCTCACCTGAGCAGGGTCACTATGAGTCACAAAGTCACGTATAAACCAAACTTATCGGTGATATACCGTTGATACGAGCAAATGGAATTGTATTTTTAATAATTAGAATTTGTTTATTTTTGTTTTTCATCGGAACTTACATGACAACATTTTAAGAAACTTTGAATAGCCGAGAACAATATCTACAGTGATCCAATATAATGTAAATATAATATGTAAAATATATAATAATAGAAATAATATATCAATGTAAATACATTTTAAATAATATTTTTATAAAATAAACAAAAACATGTTTTTATGTAGTATAATTAATGTTATTATTGTATAATTAATGTAGGTTATAAATATATTATAAACAATCCAATTTAATAATAGGAAATAACATGTACAGGAAATGTACTTTTATATGAAATGTGTATTTTTACAAGATTTACACAGAATTCCTGGATGTAATATATATATATATAATATAATTAATAATGTTATATAATAATATATACTGTATTGCATAAAAAAATATATGAATATAAAATAGTTTTAATATATTATAAAGTGTATAATATATACAAAAAAATAGACACACACATGTATATATATATATATATATATAATGAACACTCCATTTTAATAATGCTAAATAAAACATTTTTATCTTGTTTATAATATAAATTTAGAATTTAGATAATAATGAATATATTATAAAGTTTGTAAAAAAATTCTAAAACATAAAAAATTAAATATAATAGTGGAAAATAACATGTACATGATATTGCTGAAATTCAACTTAACTTAAATTTTTGTAATTACATTATTATAGTGTAATACTGGCCTGTCACTAGTTTCACATTTAAATTAACTTTCTCAGTTGTATTTGGATACAATACTACATTTTTGCTTATATTACCCACTCATATTTGCATTTGCACCATGACCTGACAACACAGAGTGTCATATCCAAATATTCTATCACCATAAGTGACCGGCCCTGCTCTCTTTCATAAGGCATTCAATGCTTCCTTGTTGCAGAAGCAGAACAATTATAAGTCCATCTCTTCATGTAAAGTGCTCTGAATGTAGAAGCTTGTAATGGAGTGGTCTTTAGATTATTTACTCAGTCATGCTTTCAATAATCATCTCATTCTATTTATTTTGCTTTGCTTGTTTCCCTCCCGTTTCCTCTGGTGGTTTGGTAACAGGGTCGGAATGCTGTGACTTGAGATTATCGACCTATAGCTGTGTGCTTTACGCTGTATAGAAGTACCTCCTTGATTTCATGTCTTCTTCTGTTTATTGCTGCTCAGTGTTTGTCACTCTCCAGCCAGTCTTTGTCATTTTCTTATACATAATGAACTAGCCAGTGGACTGTATTCCGCCAGGAGACACATTTTTTCATGTCATCTTCATGAATGAAAAGTGTATCTTTAATGTGAATTTTACTGCACAGCTGTAACTAATCTCACTCCAGCCAGGGAACCAAAGTTGGCAACCCTGTGTACATATTAGGGGTGCAACGGTTCTCGGTAAAAAATCAAACCGTAGTATGTGGGACCGGTGCTGCGGGCGCTCCTGGGGATGGTGCGCAAACAGGGCCTGGAGAGCGCCATGCAATACTTTGATCTGTCGCCGCCCATGGCTGGCATCGCCGTGCCGACCATCCTCCGTTGGCCAGGCTCCGCCTTCAGCTTCTTTGCTTGGCTCTCATTGGACCAAGATCAGCTAGGCCCGCCCAGTAAAGGAGAGAAGAGGAAACAGCTGTATAGGTGAGAATGGAAATAAGAGATTAGTGGTGTGATGGTGATTTTGGTAGGAAGGGAAGATAAAGGAATTAGGATTGGGGGAAACAAACTGTTTTTCAGCCTTTTATTCTATTTATTAAGTAAGTTTAATAAATAAGTTGTTATATACACTACTGCTCAGAATTTTGAGGTTAGTAGAATTTTAAAAAATGTTTTTGAAAAGTCCCTTCTGCTCACTAATTTAATTTTAAAAAATGCAATAAAAACGGTAATATTGTGAAATATTATTACAATTTTATATAGCTGTTTTCTATTTGAATATATTTTAAAATGTAGCTTATTCCTGTGATGTAAAGCTGAATTTTCAGCATCATTACTCCAGTCTTCAGTGTCACATGATCCTTCAGAAATCATTCTGATATGCTGATTTGCTGCTCAAGAAACATTTCTTTTTATTATTATTGAAAAGGTTTTTTGAAAACTATTTTTTGTGAAAACCATAATACAGTTTTTGGATTGTTTAATGAATAGAAAGGTCAAAAGAAATCTCGTGTAAGATTAAAAATGCATTTACAGTCACTTTTGTTCCATTTAATGCATCCTTGCTGAATAAAAGTATAATTTTAGTAACCCCAAACTAGTGTTTTTGCACCAAGATATATTTTTTTGT